TCTATAGGCATGTGCATATGCATAATACATATTAAAGGAAGCAGGTTCTTTACTATTTTCTTAGGCTGTGTAGACAAAATAGTATCGAAAGTGTCAATACTAAGGATGTCTGTCCACTCACCCCTTTACATGTGTGCTTTATGGTATCATCTTTAATTGCACACCTACCTGCTAATTTCATTGTAAATCATAATTTAAATTTCAGGAATTAGGAGCAATTCCATATTTTGCTACCTTCAAAGCAGTTTATTATCCCATGCCTTACTTACAGTATGCTATTCAAGCATTTTTCTCAAAAAAGGAATAATTAAATTCCTCATGAGATTTTCTGTGGTGACCAGTTCTGCACTATTTGAAAGCTGCATGAACATAAATTAATATACGTCCCTCTTAGCAGTTGCTTTTGGAACTCATCCCAACCTTACTGCTTTGAGTTCTTAGTACAGTGAAATTTTGGCTTTGGCCCTGTAATCTATCCTAGAATAATATATTCGAGCATGGAATAGCGAGGACACTAGTCTATAACTGAGGACATGGCATATGTGGTTCAGTCAGCGCTACCAGCTGTGAGAAACCTGAGCATCCTCAGTTACAGCAGAATCTTCTTAGAATTTAGCAACTCCAACTGAAGAGGTAGTGATGGAGCATGTGCAAACTGTGAATTTTCACAGGCTTATAACACAGCCAAATGTATAACGAGAATAGCAAAAGGCAACAGGGAGCCTCTTCAGATTTTTCAGACTCTGGCTTCAAATTGTGGAGGTGCTAGAACAATTCTCAGAGAATGTCCAGAATGTTTAATGATGGGCAAACCCACCTGGTTTATGTTAACCTCACTCTCAGAAAGCAGTTTTGGCTGAAATTTTCATTAGAATTTGAACTTGAATCAGGCACTGCATGCAAACGACAGCAGAAATGTCTAAACTTTAATGAAATCTAGCTGTCTAGGAAGACAGGCTTATAAAGGTAGAGCGTCAGGCAATTTTCCTTTTCACGCTGTGCATATACACAAATGTAATGATCTCATTACACCTAATGCTGTGCATGTGAAATAAACATGTACGTGCCACGTGGGTGCAAATGTGCTTGTGCACACACAACGATCAAACAATTTAAACAATTTATCATGTTCAAGAATATCACCCATAGATAGTCACCGTGTGTAATTCAGGATCAGTTATGCAAGCAGACAGGCCTGCTGTTCATGAGCCACTCAGCAACAACAGTACTATCTCTGACCGCAGTAAGAACAGGACAGTCAGGATTATAATCTCATTAAAGGAGAATAGATTCAGAAATCATGTCCTACTTTTGTTAAATGCAGCGCTGGTAGGTTATATGGATTGTTTATAATTTGAACGCTAGTTGTGTATCTGGCTTGCAAAAATGACTTGATTCATTTGTGAAATTCTAAATATTAGCATTAACAGAGCTTTATTCTTTGGGTCCATAAATCCAGGTGTAGCTATAAAAAGAAAAAATAAAGGGTTTCTGTTTATCATCTGTACAGAAGTTCTTCTTGTCTTTTATTGCAGAGAGCCAAGTGTAATCACCATGAGAGGAAATGATCGAGTTCGGCAGCAGCCTCAGCAGGAAAGCCGACTGCCAGGTGCGTGGAGTGTAAGCATAACTGTGCTAGCTATGTACGCACCAAGGGTTTGATTTGCATTAGAACACTGCTGGGCTGGAGGGAAACAAATGAAAGAGAGGATAGGTAGGCACCTACCCCACCACCACATCTTTGCCCACTGAAAAGGTTTGGGTTTCACGGCAGAAACACAAATACAGCATCAAGCTAAATAATTAAAGCCTGGCATTACGGGTCAGAGTCATTTCTTATTATCGGGAGGGTCATTTTTTTTGTGTGTGTGTGTAACAGACAAACCTTATTTTGAAAGATCTTAAATGTGTTCCTAAGAGAAAACATAATCTCTTCTAGCATTTGCAAAACTTATATTACCCCAGGAAAAAAAAATAGCCGACACCACTGAGCACATGGGCTTATCTGCAACCTAATACTGTTATTGTAAGGGTTTGTATAGCTCACTTCCTGCCTTTAGGCTTGCACAACAGGATATTTAAATTACAAAGACAATGAAGAAACAAGGCAAAATGCTCTTGATATTAAAAATATTCTGGCTGCTTTACTGCTCTAATTCCCCATGAAGTGACTTGCAGGATTAATGAGTAAACACAGGGTTACTCCTAGAGTGGTGCTGGCTAAACAAACTACAGGCAAATTAAAGGCAGCCAGCAGGCAGGTTCAGGGTTTAGCAGCTGTCCCACTATGCTGTGAAAAACATATAACTTACTATTATAACAACCACTACCCCTTACTACTGTTAGCAGTCTGTCACTGTTTCCATTGTTAACTTGGTCTTTGGGGTTTAATATCTCATCTGTATCAAGTTGCATCAAGTTGAAACTTGGCACACAGGTGTGTCTGGATGGTACTCATTTTTTTTCTTTCTTTTTAATTACAAAATTAAATTGTGTCAATTAGAGCTGAGTGATTTTTTTTTTTTTTCCTCCTTTACTTTCAGGCACTGTTTATTCACTTCCCAAAAACTGAATGCAAACAGAAGTTTAACTTTTCACTGAAAGAGCCCCAAAGTATAATCCAATTGGTCCATTAAATCTCTTGGTTCCTATGCAGTTTGTATTGACAGGGCTATTTTTATCCTAGAGGGCTTTATCTGAGTGGGCACTTCTCGGTTTACACTTTCCTGATCTACCACCTTGGAGTACTGAGAGACACCGAATTAACCCATACTGGATTGCTATTACATCCTGTTTGTTTCTCTTTGGCTTGTATCTGGAGGAGACTTTCTCCTCTATTCAGTGTATTTATTCTCTTTTAGCTGTGTGACCACCTCTCTCTCATTGCACAGTCAGCTCACGGAAGGTGCAAAAAAGTTTCAGCAGAAATTGCAGAACAGATATAACCCTTGTTACGTGCTAAATTAGATAAACATGCCAAAACACAATTCCAAGCACAGGTACCATGCGTGACTTTTTCCATGATTTGCTCTGCCAGGGTCAGAGAAGGTCTCAGAGTATTTCATTATGGCAGTGCAGAGCACAGCTCTCTAGAAGTACTGACACATTCTGCAGCTACAAAAAATGAGACTCAGAGAGAACTGGCTTCTGTGGCCAGTGAGTGGAGTGTCCCCCCTAAACTCAGTATATATGGCTGCAACAGGGGTCAAACCCAGCACAGCGCCTTGCATGCAGGGGACAGATGTGGCAGCCTGTGGCGAGAGATGTCCCATGCTGTGGCAGGCTGCAGGCGATGCCCAGGTGAAGTGTAACATGGTACATGCTGTGCCACAGGCACGTAGGTGCAGATGCAACCATGGCCAGCCAGTAACCACCTGGGATCCAACTCAGTCACATCAGCTCTGCTGGGCAGTGTGATCCTCCTTCTCTCCTCATTCATCTGATTGGCAATGGGCTCTTTGACCGAGCCTGCCCCTGCACTGGGACCCAAGCTGCACAGGGGGAAAAGGGGACAAGTCTTACAAACCCTTGGTAAAGATTGAGTATTTCGAGTGAAATTCAGCTTAGATTAATAGTTGGAGTTCTAAGCCCATTTTGCATTAGCAGTGACAAAGATGTGTTAATACGTGGATGAATGTAACTTATTAATGGGTTTATGAGCCCAAAATTCAGGGAGTGGAGGGCTCTACAATGGCTTTCATGGTTACATTCTTCCATTCGTATCTCTGATTAAGTTAGATCAGGGACTGTAGTGATAGGACAAGGGGTAATGTGTTTAAACTTAAAGAGGGGAAGTTCAGGTTAGACGTAAGGAAGACGTTTTTTATTGTGAGGGTGGTGAGGCACTGGCACAGGTTGCGCAGAGAAGCTGTGTTCAAGGCAGTGTTCAAGGCCAGGCTGGATGGGGCTTGGAGCAACCTGGTCTACTGGAAAGTGTCCCTGCGCATAGAAGGAGATTGGAACTAGATGACCTTAAGGTCCTTTCCAACCCAAACTGTTCTATGATTCTATGATTCTAAGTTTAAATGTAAAACTCACAGAATTTCCCATTAACTGTACATCTGAGGGAGCTGCTGAATGCACTTATGGGAGTCCAGATAAGCAGAAACTTTAGGTTATACAAACAAGTCACACATCCCCTTGCTTTTGATAAAGCATGACAGTAGGATTATATGTGTGCTAAGTAAATGGCATTAGATGAAGTAATGCCTTTTTTGGACCTTTTCCACTTTGCATTTGGAAGTCAGGAGGATCTGCAAAACCACATTTTTTTGCAATATGGTGGGAAATGATTAAATAAGAATATTGCTGTCAATCTCTTGTGTGCAAATCTTACAGGGTCTGGAAATCACCAGTGAACTTTGGAGAGAATTTTACCCTTAATATGGACCAAACACAATTGGTTGTCAAGGAGAAGAAAACACTTGGCTACTAACCAAGCAAATACTTCCTTTTAAAAATGTTCTAGTGAGCAAGTGAAAAATGAGGTCATTCATGCAAATACCCATTCACCGGCACCTTTTTTTACAGCCAGATTATGGCCACTATGCCTGCCCTACAGCAGAGTGGTGCAGACTCTGGGTAGAAAACTCTTGAAAGTAAAGATAATGGTTTGTAGTGCTCGAGGAGGCACTTGTGAATGAAATGGGGAGTGTGCTGAGGTAGTGTGAATGCTCTGCCACACTGCTGCCTGCAAGAGGCAGATGTGGGAACAGAGCAGGCTTCAGGAGCAGATGCTGAGCATGGGCAGGGATGCAAAACCAGACAGCTTTATCCTGGGTCCCACAGCAGAGTTGCTCCCCACCTCCCCTCTGAGATCTCACCAGCAGCACGTCTCTGCTTCTTACAGCTGAAGGCAGTATGGGGAGCTCAGGTTCATGTTCAGCTGTTTTGCACCAACTTCCAGTCACTGACCTTGCACAGACATGATACTGGGACCATCATAATGGTGCTTGGGCTTACGCAGCAAGAGAGCGCTGCCAGAGGCCTTTTGGCTTCCCTTCACCGTCTCTTGACCCCTTCTTCCCATTTATGCCTTATGCTGTCTCTCCTGTGCACTGCAGAAGTAAGTATGCAGTTCTACATAGCAGAGCCTTCAGAGAGTTAAGCACCAAATGGTAAAACAAACTCTCTTTAATTCTGTAAAACAAAAAAACAAACAAACAAACAGGAACTTTAGCTTCAGTGACTATGCAGGCACACCAGAGTTGCCAGTACACACTCATACTCATCCTCCTTCTCTGAAGAGACAAAGCATTGGCTTGGACATAGCATAATTCTGTGAGCATTTTTGGCAGTGTTGTTACCACACTTATTTTGCAGTGTATTATGTTTATTACACCAAGGCCCACCAAAGAAATAGGATCCTGGACCCCTTACTAGATGGAGGGATTTGGCATGAAATGTTCTAGTGTCTTAGGTAAGAATATGTGGGGATATTATATGGCAGCATACTTCATAACAATAAAAGTATGACTAGTGGTACAGCTTGTATTATGAGAACACTGTTGTACTGGTCATGTGAAGAGCAGATCTACCACATTTGATTTTATTAAGCGTAACCCTTTTATTATATAAAGCCTCTAGGAATGAACAGCACGCTTGCACCATCGATATTAATGGGATCTTTTGCACTAAAAACAGTACTTGGGAATCTTTTGCACAGCCAAAGGAATCTAAGAGTTGCTGCTGTATGTAATAACTGCTTTACTAAACGAGTACATCTCTGCTTTTGTCAGAGAAGCAAATGAAAATGTAAATAGAAGGAAAAAAACCCAGATGAGGTATTGCTCCACAAGAACATTCAAAATGAAGAAATATCTCCCAAATAGCCTGCTCAGCTCTTTAGGAAGCAACATGAGTGTTTTAGAATAAAAGTGCTGCTTATTCCCAAACAAGGCACCCACACAGGGAGCTGCTTTAGTCTGGGTATTCTGCAAACAATTCCGATAGCAAAAGCTATGCCAGCCGGCTTCCTCACTGAGGCGGGGGGAGGAGGTCTTCTCCTACATTAGGAGCCTTTTGTTGGCCTGATATGGCTATATTCCCCGCCACACTGGTGTTCAGCAGGGTTTCCGGGATAAAATAGAAATCCAAATAGCCCTTTCTGTCTACTTGAAAGTTTGTTCTGATTTGAACAGAATTTGTGTACTTACCGGACAATTGAATAGTGTAGTTTAACACTCAGCCTTTTCTGTGCTCGTTTTAAAACGCGGGGAAGGGGGAGGGAGGGGAGGGAGCAAAGGGGATTATACTGTATGAAACAGAGAAGCAAAAGTGCACCGCATATGACTAAAATATCTTCAAATCCTCGCCACAGAAGTTTCTTAAAACCTTGCCGTCTCTAAGTAAGGCCTTTGTTGACATGAGTGCCTCACTTGTTACTGAATGCTCCGGGTTTATTAGCTTTGGAGTTTAACAGGGGAAAAAGGCAAATGCCTCCCAGAGTCTGTACCAGGACGACTTCCCTAACTCACTTCTGTCTTTTAAACCCAATGGAAGCAACAAACTAGAAGCCTTCTGCATTTTTTTATATTTTTGTAAAAAGTTAGGATAATTCTATGCCTCTAATTTTATGTTAATGATCCCAGGCGTTTGTTTCAGCCTCTTTCTTTCAATGGAACGAATTCACTCGGTTGATTTGTGGATCCAAATGTGGAAAAAGGAGTCATGAATTTTGCGTGATTAATGGGGAAATTAGAAAAGTAGCCAATTTCGCATAAAATTATACAGGGAAGAAAAATGGTCTATCAGCAATGAAAGAAATAGTGGGAAGCTTTTGGAAGAGCTCCCATTCTCAAAATAATTTTCCACAGAATTGTACATCTTTATTATGACTTACACTGTTGCAAACTACTGCATCTTCATGTGTAATCATCGTACTTTTACTCATTTTTACTCTGTGCCAGTTCAGAAATGCGTGCAGGAACACACAGTTTTAGGAGTAACAGACACAGAGCAACATATCGGCTACCCACCCTCATCTAGTATTTCATGATTTAACTGCTAAAAAGAAGCTAATGCCACATATTTCTGATTTGAATGAGAACCAGAAGGTGAAAAAAAGGGTTCGGGAGCTTCTGAATCCTGAGTTTTTGTCTGGCCCAGTGAAAGGTTAGAAGGCATTGGCAAACTTTTTCTTCAGCCTGTGAACGGTTCTCTGTGGATGGACCTCAGTACAGGTTGCAGCATCTCTGCAGTAAGCTAAAACAATCTGAGATTTAGGCTTGAAAGCATCTCTATTTCTTGTTTGCAAGTTCTTGTGTGCTTTCAGCAAAATAAATACCTGATGCTGGTCAAGTTTTTCTGGCTTTTTTCTGCTGCTCGCCATTGCAGATCCATGTCCTAGTGCTTACGACGTATTATGTTACAGCCAACAAACTAACTTCCTCTTAAACATGTTACTTCTACTCTGTTGCTCGTGATATTGATGGCTATTTTGACCTTTGGAATTCTCTAACTACTGGAGCTTTAAAATAGTACAGATCAGGTAAATTTTCTCTTTTAGAAGTTCCTTTTGCCTCGCATGCCTGAGCTGAAAGACCATATAAACCAAGATTATTCAGACACTTAGACCACTGCCCAGAATGTCAAGGGAAATTTTGTTAGCAAGAACAAGTGACTATTTTGTTCTGCTTTTACTTTTGAGATATGTTTTACACAGCAGAACTACATCGCTCTACTTGCCATGCTGCCACAGGAATCATTTAAAGCCTTCCCTTACTAAACTCCAGAAATTAACACTTGTGAAACTATTTTTTTCTGTGCTCCTTTACTTCAAGTCTTTTGTGAAACGTTACCAAATAACACGCTGTTTTAGAGCTAGCAGCCAGTTCCCCCAGTTTTATCAAGCTCTGCATTCTCTGTATCATCAGAGGTCATTTTTAGCTATTGTACCTCTTTGTCTGGTCCAGTTAGAAAAGCACACAAGCACTCCAGTACTATCAGTTATGCTTGGAGGAACATAAGAAGGGCGAGGGGGAGGGGAAGCGACACAAACTCAGAAATAGCCTGTTTCTTTGCTTTGAGAGAGTGCAGCCTGCTAACAGCCAGGTCGGGCCGGCCAGAAAATCAGCGTCCTGCAGTACTACAGTCAGTAGACAACATGGCCACAGAAATATGCCCTGACAAAGGTCTCTTAAATAAATAACAAAATAATGTCTCAAAAGTGGCATCGCTATTGAATTTGTCTCTCTTGAAATTAATTCTAGGTTGTGGCCTAGTTCTTTCTTATTTCTGAACCTATGATGGGCCACATCTGTGGAAGTCTGTATCAGCTATTCTGAAACCAGCTGCTGCCGAGATTCTTTCAGTTAAACTGAAATTAAGAACAGGTTTGTGGGCTCCCTACCTGCTGTGAAGCCGTGATGTAGTTTATAAAATTACATATGGGTGAGAAAATCTGACTGCCAGGGCTGGAAAAGTTGGTAATATATACAGCCTTTAGAATGAACCTAAAATAACCACGTACACTAAGGCTGCACTTACTTTGCAATATTAACTTTTTCTGCTCTCTTCCTCAGTGTCGTTGTAAAAGCTATGTTGAATAATTTGATTTAAAACAAAAAAAGTGGGTTTGAGAAGATCAAAGCACAAAAATCAAAATCAGGCCATATCCTAGCAACTGTGTTGATGGTAGGGGCAAATATGAAAGACATTAAAAATGTTGATTCTTCAAGAAAGGACTCCGGATTATTTCTGCCATAAGGAAAAGCTCATTACATGCCGTAAATGAGATGATGGAGACAAACACTGATCATCTTTTATCATTAAAGAAATTCCATTAATAGCAAGGGGACAACTTGTATGAGTAGAAGGTAAAGAGGATGTGACCACATCCTCTTTAAAAATGACACCCCATGCAATTTGTCATCAGATATGCCCAGGTCGCTTATTGCGGTTACATGTTAATAGACTCATCAGGTCCTGAAATACATGCGGCTCTCTGAATGGAAAAGTATTTTCAAATCTGTTTGCTAGATTTATGCCTGACTCAATTAATGGTGTGCAAGAGCTTGACCTCAGTCCACGCAGACCCAGAGTATACCAGTGTGCAAAACTTTGCTGGGTGGTGCTGTGTTTTCATAGCGCAAACTTTGGAAGCAGCTGGACACCGCGCAGCTACTGGGGCACGATTAAAGAAGAGGCAAAGATATTTGCAGCGTGTGAGAAGTCGGTCTATTTTAGCCAAGAGTATATGCTGGGTATTGATTGAAACCATTTGGTCTGAGTGAAATTTGTGCCACCCACATAAACTCTGAAAGCACACCAGTGTTAGAATGGCCCATTTTAATTTGAGTCAGAAATGTTAGTTTCTTGTTAAGAAGCATCCCTGGGAATGTTTCTGTGCAGTGATCTGCAGACGTACAAGGGCATTAGAGCCGTGTGCGCCTTCCAGTCTGCAAGTTCTGCACATGCTCTTTGTACTTCCAAGTACACCAAGAAAGAGTCTGGGTTTGAATGTAGAGACTCATAGAGGATTATTTGTCGTCAGGCTTTGCATGCTCTTTTTTTCCTCTGACCCAAGCACACTTTGAAAGCAAACTCTCTGGTTTAGATTAAAAGAGATATATACTGGTTTATTGGCAGAACTGGAGAACTAACTATAAGGCTAGGGTCTGTGTTTAGAAAAGGTCGTTGAGAGACAGATAGGACGGGAGACGCCAAGGAAAATGCTAGTCTGGGTCTTGAGATGGAGAGACAGATTCCTTAAAAAAATCAAGAGCCACAAACCATCCTGGTTTAGCACTATTTAGACACATTCTCTAAATTTCAGACAGATTCATAACAACAAGAAGTATTAACCGGCACAAAACCTGAGCAACTCTGAGCAAGCATACAGCCAAAGCTAAAGCAACTGACTCCTCTAGATTACATTTCACTGAATGTATCTGTGGATGTGACACGTATACACACACACACACATATATACACAACGTGATACAAACTTGGCTTGTTTGCCTGCCTTGAAGTATTTATACACACTTTCAGCTTTGCCTTTAGAGAGACTGCTTTTTTTCCTCACTATTCCACGCTGGGATTCCTCGGGAACCTTTTCTTATCTGAACTTCCACCAATCATTCCTAAGGCTAAGTTATGCAGACAAGTCATCGCAGAGATTTTCATCAAAATGCCATTTTCCTTAACTTGAGAAAGCCTGGTCCCAAATGCTGAACAAATAATTTATTAGATCGTAGCAAAAGTAAATAAATGTTTTCCTGCTCCAAGTATTTCGTTAGCCAGAATTATTATACATGTGAGTCTATAAATAGCAAACCGCGTATTGAGCCATTAATATCGCTGACATTCTCATACGAAATACCGTAATTTAAAGAATTTGAAACGGGAGGACATCGCCTGGAAGATTTCTGGCAAAGACAAAATGGGTAAACAGTGTCTGCAAACAGATTAATCACCCATGGTAATGGTACGTTACTGACGACTTGAAAATTAGGAGTATCTTCTCTACCTGAAATTTCTAACGACACCAGTGATGCTATGCAAATATATTTTGCATCTCCATATAAGTCTATAAATCCTTACCCTGTTCTGGGTTTGCTATTGAAACCCAGAAGTGCTGGACTCAGCAGAAGAAATCTGAGAAAATCTCCTATTTAAAATTACATGGACAGAGGAACTCTGCTAGTGAGTTTCCGTGAAATTAATATACCACTTGATTGTTTTTAAAGTCTCTGCATCTTCTGAATTTTTAATTGCCTTTCCATTAAAATGGAATACCCCTCACTTACTGGGTTTGAAATGGCTTCTCCAGTCCTTTCACCCCTGTAGCCACTGCATCCTATGCTTTTTTACAGGAACAAGGAGTGCAAGAGTGGGCCCTGCAGAAGCAAATATGGAAAATATTAAGCACTTCAAGCATTACTCTATCAAATAGTAAAGCAAGTGCTGTGTTGTGTATTCTCATGTTTTACTGTCTAAGGAAAAGAACCTATACAGACTATGAGGGAAAAGGAGTAGGTTGTAAAAATCACATTTTTTAGGTAGAGGATTTGGGAAGTCTCCTGCACCTTTCATTGCCCTGACTTGTCAATTTTTGCCATATGGAAATTATTAGCTTAATACTGTAGTCCTAAATGCTGCCCAGGAATGCTGATTTATAAGGGATTTCTTACTCTTTGTGTGAAGAAATGCTAAACTACAACGCGCGCTGTGATTAGATAATCTACACTTTTGTGCTGTAGGGCATGCGTCTGGGGTGAATTCTTCAAGCCGGGGGAGGTGGCATCTGCTCCGGTCCATTCGCAGGTTAAGTCCGTCGTCAGGGAACTCGGAATTCCCACAAAACGCTGCAAGGGACTGGGAACACAATGTGGCCCGCGATTGAAAAAGCGTGCAGGGAAGATGCTGATGCAGAAGGAACAAAATCCAGACATTCCAGATAGATTATTTACTATTGAGGCGTGTAAAAGCGCTATCTTGGCGTAATGAGCTGCCTTTGAAGGACAGGCAAAGTGCATTTTTTAAAGCGCGTCCCCTCTCTGTTTTGACCAGCTGCTCTGCACGTCCGATATTTTTTTTTTTTCCCTGTGAATTAGAATTAAATTTGATTGTCCCAAATACATCCCACTCAGGCATTCATGCTGAAAGCAGCAACAATTGTCACTGACCTTTAACACGCCTGCTATTCAAATTAGTGCAGATCATTAATCACGCATAGCTTACATTTTATGATTCGTGTATCCTTCATTACCAACTTTCCCCCTTCACTCGCTGCCCCCCATCCCCCTCCTTTCTTTCCTTTATTCCCGGGGTTCTGCTAACGAGCACTGGGAAGGGCAGGGTTTAAACCCCTCTCCCCCCGCCTCCTTCTCGCCCCAATTTTGTTTCCGTCTCCCTTGTCGGAGCAGTTTGCGTCCCAAGTGTAAGGCGGGGCTGGCGGGGAGCAGCCCCGGGCGGGAGGCTGGGACCCGGGGTGCCCGGGGAGGGAAAAGGAGAAGGGGGTCCGGGATCCGGCCCGGGGCGGCGGCCCAAGGGTGGGAGATAACCCGGACCCTCCGTCAAAAGTCCTCCGTGTCAATTCTACGTCATCACACATTACGAGACAAAGAAAGAGAAGGAAAAAAAAAAAAAGCGCCTCCTCCACACCCTCGCTGTCTAGTACCGGGCTTCGGCACGTTAAATTGGGCTTTCCAGGCACGGGGGGAACACGCTAGCGGCACACGGGCTGGCCGCGGCTACACCGGGCTTTGGGAACACGCGGGGACACACGAATCGAACTTTGCAGACATGGCAGGCGGGGGGGGTGGGGGGGGTGTGCTCGGGGTTTTTTTCTTTTCCTTCTTTTTTTTTTTAAGCCATATGGCAGATTGATTTGTTCGGAGGTCTTTCAACTTCCCCAGCGTGGCTGTTGAACAGTATTCCGCTTTGATCTTGATTGAGGACTTTAATGTTGTGTTGTTTCTGCGCATTTCAACAGATCCATAAATATTTTACCAGTGGAATTCTCCCCCCCCTCACAAAAAAAAAGGAAAAGTTTCGCACAGAAACGCATCGGGGGCAACTCCAGCCCGCACCTTTCGCACCGGAGCTACGTGGGAACCGGGCCGGCGGTGGGCAAAAGCGCGGCTCCGTGCCCGCTCCCGCCCGGCAACATATCCCCGGCCCGGCAGCGCCTCTCGCCCCAACTTTGCTCCGCGGAGACAATAGTACCGGCGGGGCTGTGCTCCGCACCGGCCTCACCATTGCGGAAGGGCGGGGGGGGAGCCGAGCGGTGGCGGAGCGGGCGGGGCGCGGCGGGGCGCGGCGTGCGGGGGGCGGTGCGCTGGGCGCGGCGGGGTCCGTCGGGCCGCCCCCCCCGCTCCGCGCCAGTGGAGCCGCTCGGCGGATCATGTGGAGCGCGCGGCCGCTCGCATGCGGCGCGTGGTTTCACCTTCAGGGCGGCGGCGGGCGGCTCGGCGCGCCCTTCCCCGGCAGTGGCCGCCGGCCAGGCGAGGAGGTGAGGGGCGGCGCGGGAGGCAGCGGGGGCTCGGGGGGTGTGTGTGTGTATGGGGGGAGAAGGGAAACTTCGGGCCCCCCCTTAATCCCCCACCCAGGAGAGGCGGCTGTCCGCCCGGCTACCGGAGCGGCTCCAAAATGGTAACTTTGCGCTGTTTCCCTTGGAGGAGGAGGATGATGGTTTTACTGCAGTGGTGGTGCCGGGGGGGGGGGGGGGGGGTAGTAGCGGGGGTGGGGTGTTTGTGGGCTCTGGGAGCCTTTTGGCTTTGTACGGTCCATCAGGGGCTGTGGGTGGGGGGACAACGCGGGGACTGCGATATTAATGCATTAAGAAACAAAGAACAAATTGCCTCACTTTAAAGTAAAACGCTTCGGGGAACGGAGGTGGGTGATGGGTCTTGGAGCCCCGAATGGCCAGTTAAATTATTAAGTGGGGTTGATATTTTTTTTTAGTTATTTAACCCCCCCTCTCCCCCCGCCCCATAGTATTCTTTGTGCGATGCCCGATGTGTGGCGGTGCGTGGGTCCCCCCCAACCCCGCGTCCCCCCTTGTTTTTTATCCGCTCTCCACGAGTGGGTCCCCCTCGCAGAAGTACACAGTTCATCGAGGGAAGTTGGGGGCGGGCGGACGGGGAAAACAATTATTCACATACAGACAACGAGAAGGACAATGTCTCCGGAGCGGTTATTGCCAGAAGAGGAAAAATAGCCCGTTGGGTGCGGGTGGGGTGGGGGGGCCTTGATGTGTATGTTAAAAAAAAAGAGAGGAGGGGGGAGGAGGAAAGAAGAATAGAAATAATGCAGTTCCAGACATTTTGTGCTATAAAAGCTTTCCTCCTCCTCGTCCCTCCCTCTCTCCCCCCGCTGCTATCCCCGGTGATCATTAGCATAGCGCCCAGTCGCGATCCTGATGCGAGCGGAGCACTCGGGCAAGTTGGGGAAAGTTTGGATGGGTGAACTTCGCCGAGAGGGAGGGAGGGAGGGAGCTGGGGTGTGTGGACCGGCCGAGCGTGTATGTGTGTGTTGTATGTGTATGGTGGGGAGGGCATGACAGCCGGCCCTTGCTTTCCCCCCAAGCACCTAACCTTTGCCATTAATCGCTGGAGACAAACCCCTTGGGTTTGGGCTTTTTTTTTTTTTTCCTTTTTTAAACCGAAAAGTGTGGGTTTGGAGCCGGGCACCATTTATTAGGAGCGTTAATAAGCTCCCAGCAGCAGGCGGGGATCGTGTGGGGAATGCGCATTGTGTGTGCCCACGGCTGAGCCTTCACATTCCCCCCGCAGATACGGAGGCGCTCGGGCACTGGACGCGCAAATATAATTTTGCTCGGACTACTTTCCAAACATTAATCCTGGCCTTTATTTAATCCAGATGCAGGGTTTCCCCCCTCATTCCCCCCCCCCCTTCCCCCCCCCCCCCATTTGCTGCCTTATTGTTGGTTTACATTTTCTGAAAAGACGACTGGTGTAACCTGTGGAATTTGAAATGCAAATAAAAGCCTGTGGGAGTTGAGGCAGAACAAATCAGCATTTATAAAGTGAAAAAGATTTAATGTCTTTGAAACCATTGCGAGATTTATTTATTTATTTATTTTAATGCGAGCCGAATCGTGACGTCAGGTCGTTTGGGAAAGATTTTTTTTGTTGTTGTTTGTTTAATTATTTTTATTATTATTATTTTTAACGTTTGAAACGCGGGTATGCGAAGTGCTTACAGGAAAAACAGATTACAAGATTAACATCTGTTAACATGATCGTTTATCTCCAGCCAAAAATAGGTCAGTCCTTTCTTAAGGAAACACGATTGCCGGGCGCATGATTAAATAATGAAATTAGGCTGATGAGTTCATAAATTAAGACGCTGTGGAGACGTGCAGCGGCGAGGGTCCGTCCTGTGGCAAAAATAATGGTATTCGGGGTCCGAATGGTATTCGGTGCCCGAGCGCTGCGAGGGGTCAAAGTCCCTTTTTGGGGAGAGCTGCAACTCCTCCTCCTCCCACTCCCCCCCCGCCCCATCGCCGCCGGTCGCCCCCTCGTCCCCCCGCCCTGGGAGCCGAACTCTTCCTTGAGACCGGAGAAGTTTCCTCGGCGGGCAGGGCCGCGGGGGTGCTGTGGATGAAGGGGGGTGGGGGGGGCGGACGGAGGGTCGGACGGGCCGCGGAGCTGAGCCCCCGCCCGCCGTCGGTCCCCGCCCCGCCGGGGCGGCCCCAGTCCGCGGGCCCGCCCCCCCGCCACCGCCCGGCCCGGCCCGGCCCGACCCCGGGGTGTCGGGGCGCGGCGATGTGGGACGGGCTGCCGCTGGGCCGGGCCGGGCAGCTGCCTTCCCCCATCCTGCGCCCGGCCTCATCCTTTACATCCCCTCGGAGCTTCCCTCTCGGTGGTGGGGTTGGGCTTCTTTTGGAAGTGGATGCGAAAGTGCCCTTACAAAACATCTTCTCGGGCTTGGCGGTGCCATCGATGTTGTTGGGGTTGTTTTTTGAGGCAGATTTAGTCACTTTAGGAAGATCAGAGCAGCTTTTCAGACCTGGGCAGCTCTGAGCTGGCTCCTTGGCGGTCGGGCCGGGGAGAGGTCCCAGAAGCCTGCCCGGCAAAGGGCTCCTGTGCTTTGGCCCGGTGCCATGGACTTTATTTCATGCTTGCTGCACTAAATGAGTTAACAGCCAAAGGGTTTTTCATTAACTCGACTTGGCAACCGTGTATTTAGTTGGCTTCTACCCCCGCCCCCCCCCAAACCCCAATACAGCATAATTCTAAGCAGAAGCTGAGTGGCATAATGTGGATTGATTTGGGGGGCTGTCTGCTTCTCAGGATGTTCTCTTTGTGCCCCCATCCCGTGCATGGCGTTTGGATGGTTTGATAACACAGACTTTCATTTTTGTGAGGTGTGTGTGTCTTTATTTTTGACCGTTGCTTTGCCATGGTGCATTAAGGCCCTGTGTGCCATAGAGGGGACCCAAGCAGGGGAGATGCTGACCCTGAGGGCAGCAACTTGCTGCTTCCGCTTTATCTTCCCTTCTGCCTCATGGTGGGGTGTGCGGATGGGGCCAAGGGGGTGTGTGTATGTATGTGCTGGGGGGCACACTGCTGCATGCAGGGCAGGGGCACATGTTGCAAATGGGACGGTGTTTGTGTGCATGCATGCATGGCCAGAGATGGGGTATGCTGCATTGCTGCACATAAGTCACATGTGTGTACTTGCAGTCTTTCTGCTGGAGGGATTATGCATGTGTATGCCAGGATGGGGACTGAATGGGTGAACACATGTGTGAGGGCACACGTGTGAGTCAGGGGGTGCTTCATGGAGCAGGTGTATGTGTGTGCTGATACACATGTGTGTGGTGCTGGGCTGTGTCCCATGGATGGGTACAGATGATGGCGAGTACTGAGTGTAACATCATGCCTGCTTCTCGAGAGAGGCCCCCCCTGCCCCTGGCTGCTAGTGAGCCATAATTAACTATTGCAAGAGGTTTTGGTGGGAGAGCAGCGCTGGGGAGGGGTGGTGGTGGTAGGAGCAGAAGTTTCATGGAGGCAGGGAGTATTTTGGGAGATTAGCTCTTGTAGTTTTGTCTGTGGTGGCTGATTGGGGTGAGGAGTCATCTCTTGTTCACTGCCAGCATGTCCTTCAGCTCTGTAACAGCAAACCTATGGCTGCCTGTCCTAGTCATGTGCTGCTCTGTGCAACCTGTCTTGTCCCAGGCAATGAGGAGGAGTGGGCCTTGGTGGTTTTTGGAGATCTCTGGTAGAACTGGAAGCTGAAGTTGTGTAGGAGCACCTGAGTTGTAATTAGTATTATGGTGTAGTTATTTTGGCAGACATCTTTTGTTTCACAAGAGTAGCTGCCATAGCCATCTTGAATGAACTCTGTACAATGAAGTGGTTTGTGTGGAGTTTAGGTATCTCTAAAAAGTCTTACCTGGGATTTGTTTTCAAGCCTGTAGTTCCTATAAAACTGAGTGGTGTTGAAGTGACATCTATTAGTGATAAGTGGCCTGTGTGAACAACAGGGCATTATAACCCCTCTCTAAACTGTTAGTTTAATATGCAAAAATAATGCTTACAAAAGGAAAGAAAAAATAAGCTAAACACCAATATCAGTGAGAATAACATTGTCTTAAGGAGTGATCCAAAACATGTTTAAAGAAAAGAATGGTATTTGTTAGCAGCGCTCTGATCTAGGCTCAGCGCAGCCTTCTAAATTGCTTTATGGGGCTAAAACGTGTGAATGACTGCTGCTCTGTGCATCCTAGAAAAGAAAACAACTTACATGACTAGAGTGAAAGCTACCTGTTGTTATTTGCAAGTGACCTCGGTAACAGTATAGCTGGCTGAATGGAGCAGCAGCAGTGACATTCAGCTTTTGTAGATTATAAGGTTTTCCTGTGACAGTGACTAATGTCTTTGCTTTAAAAATTAGGTTTATCGTATCTTTTTATAGTTGGTCATTGTATCTCGCTGTCACCAAGATGCAGTAATAGCAATTATCATTACAAAAGTACTCATTGAAGGGGTTGAAAATGATTGTGCCATCCTTCTGAATCTTTGCTTGTTACAAGGGCAGCCATCCCTCATCTTAGCAAAGGAAGATATTTATGTCTTAAAGCTTTACGTACCTACTTCAGAAGCAGGGATGTTGTCTTTGGTTGACTGAAAAGCAAATAGTCTTTAAAATGCACCTTGCTGTGGGC